ATAAATTATAACTACATTATTTTGACAGCCGATGAATAAGACCTTTTTTCATTATAGCTTACTGAAGTTTAAAGCACATGGAAATCTGTATGTAGCCTTGCTCCTATGCAAATATTACTAGAAACACGATAGATTTGCAGTTAATTTTAATTTGTGGTCTTTATGTCATTTGTATAGGGTGTATGGTCCACACTCCCTGTAAACGAAAAGAAATTAAATGCTGCATTCAGATCTGCAAGGAGTGTTATCTTAATATTTTCTGTCAGAGAGAGTGGAAAATTTCAAGGTAAGAATAAAAATAATTTGGACATATGAAAACATTAATTATATTAGCATCTACATATAATGTTGTGATCTGATTCCCTTAGGGTTTGCAAGGCTTTCTTCAGAATCACATCATGGAGGATCTCCTATACACTGGGTGCTTCCAGCAGGAATGAATGCTAAAATGCTGGGAGGTGTCTTTAAAATTGACTGGATTTGCAGGTAAGTTATACACTTTAGTATAAATAAAGTTTCCCTTGTTTTGAATGGGCTACCAGTTGGAAATAATGTATTAAAGTAAAAACGACAGCATATGCTTGTTCACTGTCTTTATAATCTAATATAAGCTGCAAAGGGCAAAGATTTATTTAGTCAAGAATTTTATCTGTTTATTCTGTATGTTAGTAATATAGCAGTAAATCGGACAATTGCTTAGAATGTTGTCTGGCGTATCTATGTAATTTTAGTGTCAGTTACTGTGGAATGGGAAAATAATTACTCTCTGACTTGGCTAACAGTTTTGGAGGGAATTACTTAAATTGTGGACAGTTAGTGTATTTTAAGGAGGGTAGCCAACAACGTTTAGTTGGCATTGTGATCTTTTGAAATTGGGTTAAGATTTAACTATGTTTATTAGAAAAATAATCAGACTTATTTTGAAAACTGAGTTTTACCACTATTGTTAGTTTCTTACCAAATCATTGTACATGAAAAGCTAATTATTTTAGTGAATTTTAAATGGCATGCATAATTTATTACCCTATAATATTAATTTTAATTAAATAATTATCTGAAAGCATATGGATACTTTGAGTTGTAAGTTGGCAAACCAGTAAACTCAAATATGTCCTTCAGGATGCAAGATTTTTCCTCATAAAGAGTAACAACCATGAGAATGTGTCTCTTGCCAAAGCTAAGGTATTATGAGCATCAGTTCTGTTGAAAGTATCCTAATCTTGAAATTTTTAAATGGGAAATTGGACTTGAATTATCTTCAGTAACGTAAGATGTTGTACTTTTCATTGTAGCTTTAAAGATCCACCTCCCAGTTGCCACTTAGAATCTGGTTTGTGGCCAGTTACTATTAGGCAACCTAGTAGGAATTTGGGTTTTCTTTTATAGATGGATTTTAGGAGTCACAATATTCGGTGTTGAAGACTAGTTTAACTTTATACTGTAAAAGATCTGCCTCTTGATTTTTGTTTCTATACTTTTCAGTTGCTTATTTATTGTGCTAATAGTTTCAAATTTCTTTAGTTAACCAATTTTTGTTTTATATTGATGCTTGTTTTATACTTTGAGATTCTTTTGAAAAGAATTCGTTCCTTTCTGGAGAGTTTCTTTTATTTTTTTAGAAGTAAGAATACTTGGGTTTAGAAGAAAAGGGAAGAATTAGCTTACTGGCCCACTCCAGACTTTACAAAAAGGATATGCCCATTCGCTGTAGGATGTCGTAAGATAACTAATTTTCATTTTATGTTTTTGCTACAAAAATAAATTTGTGTGTTATACCAGCTATTATAATGTTTTG